TCTCCGAGACATACCAGGCTAGCTGCTGGCTTCTCACCAGCAGTGCCTGGGAGCGTGGCAGGCTGGCACTGCTGGTGGGAGAGACCGCACTCTCCAGGCTAATTCTGGTAACTGGGGGCTTGCCTGGATCAGGTCACGGACAGTTTGTGTCGTTGAGCACCATGTTCAACTTGGTTTTGCCATGCAGTGGTGGAGAGGCTTGCAAAAAAGCTGTTCTTCGGTGTAATGGTTGCGTCTCCCTACTAGGAAATTCTAGCATGCGTTTGAGCCTCTGAATTATTGGTAAATTTTTTTCAGCAAGTATTGTTGAATGGTGAATCACTTGCAAACAGCCTGTGGAAGAGATTTGCACTTTGCAGTTCATGCCGTGTTGGTTGTGTAACCTGGTGGCAAAGCCTGTTCTCTCCACGGGTGACGTATGTGTGGCTGGCCCTCGACAGCTCTGGGTCTCGCGACTGTGTTTGCAGACTAAAACTTTGCTCTTGATTAATATGTGTGTCTGGACAGAGCCTTTAAGCCGTTAGGAATTAATGGTCTTTGGGATCTCGTCAGGGCTTAGAGCTGGTGGCTGCAAGAAGCTTGCTGCGGTAGGACATTGTGAGTGTCAGGGACCTGCTCTAGAGTAATGGGGATGGTCGATGTGTGCTCACCAGCTTGGATGCTGGCTTGGGGTTTCCGTGAGCAGCAAGGCTTCCTGGATGCACTCTCCTCGGCGTAAATCCCTGTAACGAGAGGTGCCAGTGTGAGCCTTTGCCTGGGATCCTGTGCGGGAAGGGATGACACAGACTTTGAGTCAAGTGGTGTTTGCTTCTTATGTCAATAAATCGAGATTTTTCACCTCGGTGGAAATCAACGCCCACTTAAAACTCCCTAATGTTAAAGCTTCCGCTAGGGAGCTAGTAGTTACATAGGTAAGCCAGCTCTGTTTATAACCTGTGGTTTCCAAAGCGTTGTCGCTGCCTGAAAAAACAGCCTATTCTCCCCCAGCTAAAAATATTTTTCTTGCAAAACATGAATAAAATACCTTCACTCATTTTGAGGAA